CTCCTATCATTTCATGTCTTGAAAAATGATCACGCAAATTCAAAAATATTCTCTTTACTTTGTCTGCACACCAATGGCCTTTGCTTATTTCTTACTTCAAAGTTTAAACAGCCTTTGTATTTCAAAATTGGTCTGGAGATTTTTATTTTATCAAAAACATCTTTATTGTTGGGGTCGAGTCCAAATAAACTCGTTTATTCTGTCATTATCTCCACATATTGTCAATGTGTCATTGTTTAGAATGTGTGGCAATGACTTCTTTCATTATGTGATTTTCCAGATGTCTTCTCGGATATGCTTCTAATGTACCATTGTATAGATTCTGAGTTCAAGTCTTGATAGAGACTTAAATACTTTGATTTTTCACATATTTCTTCATTGAGGTTTTTGACTTGTCGTCGTTTAAGTTGTAAGTTGGAATCCTGCACATGGCTTAATATTCTATGAATTTTCAAGTGGTTTTATTGCTGAGGCTTCCAATTTAATATTTTTTAGATTATGAGTTTGAACCCTACACTTAACTTAATATTCCATGACTTTTAAGGTATTTTTTTTGCTGAGGTTTTTGACTTACCATCATTCAAGTTTTGAGTTCAAATCCTACTAGTAACTTTAACATTTTAAAATTTTCTAGATATTTCATCACATGCATTACCGCTAGATTTCTTGAACTCTAGAATGCCGCATTAATTCAAACATATAAATATCTCAAGGAATAACTCAAATTTATTTTTTACCCACAGGATCACATAAGTATGATCATTATACACTTTGAATATATCTCAAAACTATTAAACCTCTAGTACAAGTTCTCATGAAATTCATTGAATATTTATTAAATCTTTAGTAAATATTTTTTCTCCTATAGTATCAAAACCAAAGGCATCAACATGATTATCTTATTTTAGGAGGGATGATCTGCTCTTCACAATCAAAACATTAATGAGTATAAGGAGTTCACTTTAAGCGTAGAATTTTTTTTGTTCCTGATTTATTGAGTTTAATAATTCTTCTTTTTATTTTCATCATTCTTCATATTATGTTCATGGTTTAATTTTAGTTCCTACACCTTTGTGCATGACAATAGTAGTGTGTTGGATCTCATTACGATTTATTCCTTATTTTGTTACAATTGATTAAATTTTATTTTTTATATTTTTTTACTCATGTCATTTGAGGTAAAATAGATGAAAAGATTAAACCTACTTATCTTATAAATCATATATTTTAGTATTTATATTTTATTGCATTATTTTCATCTATTTTATAAATTCTTTAATGGTAACAAACAATTAACATATCGTCTTCCTCTTCCTGTTCTTCTATTTGTTCCTTTGGTTTGTCTATATTGTTATTCATGAGTCAATGGATCAACATGAATTAGAGGTGATCTATAGGTGATTAAAAGACAAACAAGAATCTTTCTTTTATTTCAGAAGTCAAGAGAGATAAGAGAACTCAATAGCCACAAAACTTGGTAATAAGAGAAGTCATCAATTTTCTACTTTTAGTTTTCACTTGTTTAACTTTCAATAATTGTTGAGAATGCATTAGAGATATATTTTTATCTTTCATCCTTATGGAGACAACCTAAATCCACTAACTTTATTATTTAAAACATCTTTGGAATTTGGTTTATGAATTATTAAATTTTGGTCATCTTGTAACACAACAATTTAGATCTATCAATAATCATCTTGAGCATTATTTGGTAAGTTCACCAAGGTAAAGAATAAATTAAGATATAAACCATGTAATGGTCAGCACACATTATTTATTAAACACTGAACTTCAAGGAAAATTATAATCATTTTAGCGTATGTAGATTATATAACAGTGACCAGGAATGCTAATGGTGAAAAACAACTCCAAAGTAAGAATGAATTAAAGTAATTTCACATTAAGATGCTAGCAAAATTAAGGTATTTTTAGGGTATAGAAGTAACATATTTAAAATATGATGTGTTTATATCACAATAAAAATATATCTTAGATCTTTTACAAGATACATGAAAATTAAACTCTAAACCTATAGGTACTCCTATTGATTTGAGCCATTAACTTAGTAATATAGAGGAGGGTAGTTGTATTGATATACTTATGTACCAAAAACATGTAGGAAAGTTAATTTATCTTTCTCATGCTGAACCTAGCATCTCATATGTAGTGAACATCCTTAACCAATTCATGCATGATCCAAGAGAAGTTCATCTTTTTATAATTGAGAGAGTTCTCAAACACATGAAGTAAACACTTAAGAGAGGCATCTTATTTAAGAAAACTGAAAGAAAATACATTGAAGTTTATATTGATGCTAATTATGTGGGTTATATTGTTAATAAATAATCTTATTTAGATTATTACGCTCTTCTTGGTGGCAATTCGTTACTTGAGGTAGTAAAAAATAATAATTGATAACTGACGTGACTTAGTCATTGTATAGTAAATCACGTAAATTTAAAATTTATAAAACTATAAAATACTAATTTTTGGATATTTAGAAGTATTTTTGAACAAATATATCAATTATAATTTAATAAAAATTCCAAAAATAATGGTAATTTTCTAGATCGATCACATGGATCTAATATAATATCAGGTAATTATTTAGAATTTTTCTCAAAGAATACTATTTTCTATAAATTTTATACTAAGAAATGAAAATGAAATATATTTAAAATTCACAAAAAAGGAAAATAAGGGTGCGGATGTTAGGATGATGTCAGAGCCTGGCGAACGTGAATCGGGCGGAAACAGAGTTCCACCTGACAATTCTTACGTAAGTGATTATAGATGATTTAATTGATCAAATTAAGATTTGTAAAAGTCGGAAGAATCGTAATTGAATGAAATATAGCTTGGTAAATTTAAATCACACAAATTATCACTAAATGAAGTGAAAATTAAGTTGAAAGTAGGAAAATAGAGTTCTGGCGTCGCGACGACGATGGATTGACAATACATCGGAATCCTAAATGTTTGGGAGAATCGTCGTGCAGTGTTCATAGCCTCGAAGGCTCTCCTTGGACAATGACGATGTGGGTAATTTCTAGATCTCTTTGCGATGTCTAGAGATCAATGAAATGGGTTGTCGAATCATCTCTAGTGGCTGTCACCTGCGATGGAAAAATAGTGACTTTGCGACTCTCTAGTGGCTGTCACTTGATAGAGAAGAACTGAATGGAGGTGGAGCGCGTGTTAGGGAGCTTCATCCTGAAGTCCGCATAACAAGAGGAGGCTCTTCATTACATCCGGTATGCTCTCAAGAGGTGACGACTCGTCTCTCGACAGATTGTCTGCTTCTCAACTATGACTTGTTCGTCGATTAATCGGAGATGATTTACTTGATGGATTCGTGATCCTTCTATCGTGAATCATTCAACAATTTTAGTAACAATGCTCTGCAAATTGTGTTGACGAGATTTTTGCTGATGATCTAGTGATTCTGGCCACTTAATCCTTCACCGGCAATCTGCAGAAAAGTCACAATAATCAGATAAAAATATGAGTTTTAGCTTTGGAAGCATTCAAACCCGCGCTGATTGCTCGCCTTCAAAGCCTTTCGGGGAAAGGTGTGTCGGAGATTTGGTCCCACATTGCTTGTGCACCAAAGTTTTGGGCGAATAAATACTAATATCACATTTCTAAGTAGTGAGTCCCTTTCTTCTGCATGTACGACCACTCCTTGCCCCACAGCCAGCTGGTCACCAATGACATGGATGGAGAGTGGCGCACATGTGCCCTCATCGGTCCTAGCTCCTCGAGCCCCTGCTCGTGGCTCCCCACAACTGCGCTTCTGACCTACTTGTGGGCCCGGCTGGCCAGCGAGTCCCTTGTTTTGCTATATTTTTATTTTAATTTCTTTCTCTTCATTTATCTCAAAAATAGAACTATAAAAATCATATAAATTTGTAGAAAATCACATAATTTGCCAAAAATTCACGTTAATCAATTGAAAACTACTTTTCACAATTTAACATAAATATAAGTCTATTTATCATGAGTTAAGGCTAAAAATATATTATTTACTAATTATTAACTCATGATAATGAAGACTTATCAATAACATATAGCGATGAGTCTGAATTTTGAGATATGTCACAAGAAATTTATGATGTATTATTGATAAGTCTTCATTATCATAAGTTAATAATTAATTAATAATATATTTTAAGCCTTAATGCATGATAAATAGATTTATATTTATGTTAAATTGTGAAAAGTGATTTTTATTTATTATTCTATTTTTTTGGCTAATTATATGATTTTATGTAAATTTTTATAATTATATTTTTGAGATAGATAAATAAAAATAAAATAAATATATATATTGAAAAATAGGTGGATCCATTGGCCTACTAGGCTCACAAGTGGGTCAAAAGCACAGTTGAGTGAAGCCATAAGTAGAAGACTTGAGTAGCCAAGGACTGCTAAGGGAGACACATGTGCATCACTCTCCTTTCACATCACTAGTGGCTAGCCGGGCATGTGACAAAGAGTGGTCGTACACATACAAGAGAGGGGCTTATTGATCACAAAATCTTCTATTATTATACATACGCCTCAAAACTCGACAAATAACTACTGTGGGACTAAATTGTCATCACAGCTTCTTAGAAGATTTTTAGTGATTTAAATACATAAACTATCTTTTATGAGACACTCTTATGACATCACTTTATAAGGGTACTCATATACTTATTTCACTATCTCTTATGCAAGTGAGTGATTGGTGAGGGTTTGAATCTCACTTGTACCAAAACTCATATTTTTATTTGATTAAATCATGGTTTTTCTACAAACTACTTGTCAATGATTAAGTTGCCAAAATTGCTCAATCATCGGTGAAAATATTATTACCATAATTTACAGAATATCATTACTAAAATTATTGAACGATTATAGATAAAAAAGATTATAAATCTATTGAGTAAATCATCTTTGATTGATTGATGAATAAGTCGTCATCAAGAAAGTACAATCTATCGAAAGACGTGTCATCACCTCCTGAGATCCTCATCTTGTTGTACGTACTTGAGGATGAAGCTCTTTAAGATGCACCCCACCTCCATCTAACTTATCTCCATTATGTGACAGCCATCAGAGATCTAAAAAGTCATTGTTTTTCTACTCTTCAGGGTGACAACCACCGAAGATGATTCGTTGACTCACTTTATTGATTTTTAAACTTAGCAAGAAGATATAGAAATTATCTATGTCATCTTTGTCCAATGAGAGCCTTTAAGGTTGTGAACATTACACAATAATTATTCAGAATACTCAAGATTCTAATAAATCATTAGAAATATATTTTATTACTTTTTAATTAATTTAACTTTCACCATCATTTTTTAGATTTCAAAAGAAGATCTAGTGAATGCATAAGTCATCCATATCCAAGGAGAGCCTTTAAGGCATAGAAATTGTTTGATAACTTACGTAACTTAGTTGTTGTATAGTAAATAATGCAAATTTAAAATTTATAAAACTAGAAAATACTAATGTTCAAGTATTTAGAAGTATTTCTGAATAAATATCTTAATTATAATTCAATAAAACTTCCAAAAATAGTGGTAATTTTCCAAGTCAATCACAAAGATCTAATATAATATCAGGTAATTATTCATAATTTTCCTCAAAGAATACTATTTTTTATGAATTTTACACTAAAAAATAAAAATAAAAATATTTAAAATTTATGAAAAAAGAGAAATAAGAGTGCGGACATCAAAATGATGCCAGCACCCGGCGAACACAAACTGAGCAGAAATAGAGTTCTACTCGGTGATCCTTATGTAAGCGATTGCAAATGATTTAATTGATCAAATTAAGATTTGTAAAAGCCAAAAGAATCGTAATTGAATGAAGTATACCTTAGTAAATTTAAATCACACAAATTATCACTAAATTAAGCAAAAATTAAGTTGAAAGTAGGAAAATAGAGTTCCGGTGTCACGGCGGCGATGCATCAGTGATGCACTAGAATACTGAGTGTTCGGGAGGATTGTCGTGGAGTGTCCACGACCTCGAAGAATCTCTTTAGATAAGGATAACGTGAATAATCTCTAGATCTCCTTGCAAAGTCTAGGAATCAATGAAATGGGTCGTCGAATTGTCTCTGGGAGCTGTCATCTGGTGGAGTAGAAAAATGGTGACTTTGTGGCTCTCTGACGGCTGTCACCCGATGGAGAGGAGCTGGATGGAAGTGGGGCACATGTCAGGGAGCTTCATCCTCAAGTCTGTATAGCAAGATGAGGCTCTTCATTGCATCCGATACGCTATTAGGAGGTGGCGACTCGTCTCTCGATAGATCGTCCTCTTCCCAATGACGGCTTGTTCGTCAATCAATTGGAGATGCTTTACTCGATGGATTCGCGATCCTTTTATCGCAAATCGTTCAGCAATTTTAGTAACAATGCTCCACAAATCATGTTGACAAGATTTTTGTCAATGATCTAATGATTTTGGCGGCTTAATCCTTCACCGGCGATCTGTAGGAAAGTTGCGATAATCAGATAAAACATATGAGGTTTGGCTCTTGGAAGATTCGAACATGCACCGGTTGCTCGTCTACATGATAGAGATTGAAATAAGTACTCTAATGCCCTTATCAAATGGCATCATCATGGTATATCTCTGTTATAAATAAGGAGTAGTTTATGTATTAAAATAATCGAAGTCTTTCTGGGAAAGATGTGATGTAGATTTAGTCCCACATCGTTTGTGCGCCGATGTTTTGGGCGAATATTATATTGGCAAACAATGAGTCCCTTTCTCCCACATGTACGACCACTCCTTGCCCCATAGCTAGCTAGCCATGGATGACATGGAAGGGGAGTGGCGCACACGTGTCCCCATCAGTCCTAGCCGCTCAAGCCCCTACTCGTGGCTCCTCTGGACTGCACTTCCAACCCACTTGTAGGCCTGGTTGGCCGGTGGGTCCCCCATTTTGTTATATTTTTATTTTTATTTATTTTTGTTCATTTATCTCAAAAATAAGACTATAAAAATCATATAAATTCGTAAAAAAATCACATAATCAGCCAAAAATTAACGTTAATCAATTGAAAACCACTTTTCACACTTTAACATAAATATAAGTCTATTTATTATGAGTTAAGGCTAAAAATATATTAGTTACTAATTATTAACTCATGACAATGAAGACTTATCAATAATCCTCCCTAACACAAAATTCTAGTGATCACTATCACGAGTCAAAACTCGGACTTTTCTACTTTTATCTTAATTTTTACTTCATTTAATGATACTTTGTGTGATTTCGAGTTTCAAAACTATTCTTCATTCAATTATGATTCTTCTAATTTTTACATATCTTAATTTAAATAATTAATTCATCTGTAATCACTCATACAAGAATCATTAGACATAACTTTATTTTTCCCTAATTCATATTTGTTGGACTGCTGATGTCACCTTGACATCTGCACCCTTAATTTTCTTTTTTATGATTTTTTAAATATAGTTTATATTTATCATTTAGTCTAAAAATTATAAAAACTTATATTCTTCTAAAAAAATTATAAAATATTACCAAATATTATCTTACATATCTATGATCAATTTGAAAATTCTCTACTATTTTTGGAATATTTTATCAAATTATAATTTATTTATTTGTTCTAAATATTTCTAAAAATATAAAATTAGTATTTTTTAGTTTTATAAATTTTAAATTTACGTGATTTACTATACAACAATTAGGTTATGTCAATTATAGATCGACAGTATTCTAGAAGATTTGATATTCAAGTGGCACAAACCTATCAAGCTATAATGTAACAACAAATCAATTATCAAAAAACCCTAAACCATTTGTGTATGTATTTTCTCTCTCCTCACGCCCGAGTGGCTCCAATGATTCTAGGAGGACGAATCCACAGCACCCCAGAGGGAGGTGTGGAGGATTGAGGGCAGCGAAGGAGAAATCATGATGAGGATGGGTGATACTAGTAGTTTGAGCCAGAATGATCTCTCTAGATATCTAGTTATAGGGCGGCGAAAACCTAGAAAACAATTCTAGGGCTTGAGATGCTCGCGACTAGCAAACAGAACATAGAAGTGAGAGAGGAGGTTGTGGGCTACACCAGCCTCTTCGTTGGAAAGAGTGCCAGTGATATCTAGATAGCAAGGGTAGAAACCAATGAGCTTACGAATTTCTTGGGTTTTTGTAGCCACGACAACCTAACAGACCACAGGAGTAAAGCAAAAAAGAGGAAACTGACAACAGTGGGGTACTTGACGTGACTTAGTTTTTATATAATAAATCATGTAAATTTAAAATTTTAAAAACTAGAAAATACTAATTTTCGAATATTTAGAAGTATTTCTGAACAAATATATCAATTATAATTAAATAAAACTTCTAAAAATAGTGATAATTTTCCAAGTCAATCACAAGGATGTAATATAATATCAGGTAATTATTCAGAATTTTTCTCAAAGAATATGATTTTTTATGAATTTTATACTACGAAATAAAAATTACATATATTTAAAATTCACAAAAAAGGAAAATAAGGGTGCGGATGTCAAGATGATGTCAGCACCCAATGAACACGAATTAGGCAGAAACATAGTTCTGTCTGGTGATTCTTATATAAGTGATTACAGATGATTTAATTGATCAATTAAGATCTGTAAAATCTAGAAGAATCGTAATTTGAATGAAGTATAGCTTGGTAAATTTAAATCACACAAATTATCACTAAATTAAGCAAAAATTAAGTTGAAAGCAAGAAAACAGAGTTCCGACGTCTTGACAATGATGTGTTGGCGATGCACTGGAATCCTAAGTATTCTAGAGGATCGTCGTGTAGTGTCCATGGCCTCAAAGGCTCTCCTTAGACAAGGATGACGTGGGCAATCTCTAGATCTGTTTGCGAAGTCTAGAGATCAATGCAATGGGCTGTCGAATCGTCTCTAGTAGTTATTGATAATTCTTCATTAACATGAGTTAATAATTAGTAAATAATATAGTTTTAGCCTTAACTCATGATAAATAGACTTATATTTGTGTTAAAGTGTGAAAAGTGGTTTTCAATTGATTAACGTAAATTTTTGGGTAATTATGTGATTTTATACGATTTTTACAGTCTTACTTTTGAGATAAATGAAGAACAAGAAATAAAAATAAAAATATTGCAAAATGGGGGGACCTACCGGCCAGCCGGGCCCGCAAGCGGGTCGGAAGCGCAGTCGAGGAGTAGCTGCGAGCAGGGACTCGAGCGGCTTGGACCGATAGGGCACGTGTGCACCACTCCCCTTCCACGTCACCGGTGGCCAGCCGGCTGTGGGGCAAGGAGTGGTCGTACACGCGAGAGAAGGGACTTTGCTTAGAAAGCTAACATTACTATATATTCGCCTGAAAAATCAGCACACAACCGATGTGGGACTAGACCCGCGTCACACCTTCCTCAGAAGAGACGGGCGACCGACGCGGGTTCGAATCCTCCCAGAGTCAAAAGTCATATATTTTTATCTGATTATCGCGACTTTCCTACATATCGCCGGTGAAGGATTAAGCAACGAGAATCGCTGGATCATCGGCGAAAATCTCGTCAACACGATTCGCGGAGCATTGTTACTAAAATTTCTGAACGATTCGCGATAAAAGGATCGCGAATCCATCGAGTAAATCATCTCCGATTGATCGACAAGCAAGCCGTTGTTGGGAAGAGGATTATCCGCCGGGAGACGAGTCGCCACCTCCTGAAAGCGTACCAGATGCGATGAAGAGCCTCCTCTTGCTACGCGGATCTGAGGATGAAGCTCCCTAACACGCGCCCCACCTCCATCCAGCTCCTCTCCGTCAGGTGACAGCCGCCGGAGAGCTGCAAAGTCGCCGTTTTTCTGCTCCGCCGGGTGACAGCCGCCGGAGACGAGTCAACGACCCATTCCATTGATCTCTAGACTTCGAAAGGAGATCTAGAGATTGCCCACGTCGTCTTTGTCCAAGGAGAGCCTTCGAGGTCGTGGACACTACACGACGATCCTCCCGAACGCTTAGGATTCCGATGCATCGCCGACGCATCGCCGTCACGACGCTGGAACTCTATTTTTCTGCTTTCAACTTAATTTATGCTTCATTTAGTGATAATTTTTGTGATTTTAATTTACCAAAATATACTTTGTTCTATTACGATTCTTCCAGCTTTTACAGATCTTAATTTGATTAATTAAATCATCTGTAATCGCTTACGTAAGAATCGCCAGGCGGAACTCTATTTCCGCCCGATTCGTGTTCGCCGGGTGCTGACATCATCCTAACGTCCGCACCCTTATTTTCTTTTTTTTCGTGAATTTTAAATATATTTCCTTTTCATTTCTTAGTATAAAATTCATATAAAATAGTGTTCTCTGAGGAAAATTCTGAATAATTACCAGATATTATATTACATCCTTGTGATCGACCTGGTAAATTACCATTATTTTTGGAACTTTTATTGAATTATAATTGATATATTTGTTCAGAAATACTTCTAAATATCCGAAAATTTGTATTTTCTAGTTTTATAAATTTTAAATTTGCGTGATTTAATATACAACGACTAAGTCACGTCAAATTTTGACACCGTTGTCGAGGATGTATTGCATAATATTTAGTATTTTTCTGTTTTTCTCTTAGAGTACACAAAAAAAAATTAACTCTTGTTTTATTTTCTTTTTGCCGATTTTTTTTTAGAAAAAGGGAACGAAAAGAAGCAAGGCAAGGACTGGAGCATCCTGAAGGAGGGTAACAATTACTAAATTTTTCCCTCAAATTTATTGATTTTTATACATGGTAGAAGATCCTTGCATCCAAGGCTAGAAAATCCTTTCATTATTTCATTCAAAAATAAAAATCCAAAAGAAAAATTAATTTTGATGGATCCTGAAGGAAGTACAAGTCAAACTGAGAACAATCCTATGGCCATGAAAAATCATTATATCCCTGATTCATTTTAAAGAGCATCAAATATTAGAGTCCCATTAGCACCCACTATTAAATTCGAAATAAATCTAGGAATTTTTCAAATGCTCCCTAATTTTCATGGATTGCCTTTAGAAGAACCTCATCAGCACTTAGAAAATTTTCATATGGTCTGTGATTTAGTTAATCTCACTCAAGTTACACTGGAAATTATTAAGATGAAATTATTTCCTCATACACTTAGGGACAAAGCTAGCCATTGGCTATCTACATTAGATAGAGAATTAACTGGCTGGAAAGACATAGAATAGGCTTTTCTTCGAAAATTTTATCCCTTAGAAAAAACCCAAAATATGAGAAAACATATATGGAGTTTTTCTCAAAGATCAGGAGAAACTTTACATGAGACATGGGAAACATTCAAAGATTTACTTAGAAAGTGTCCTCATCATGCTATACCTAAGTGGCAGCTCAATAGAATTTTTTATGATGAATTATTAGAACAACATAGAAATATGGTTGATTCTATATGTGGAGGAGCTTTTATGAAGAAAACCCCTGATGAGATTTACAGTCTTTATAAGAATTTAAGTGAAAATTCTAGAGATCAAGCCTCTTTCGAATTATATGACATGGATAAGAAGAGAGGAATTTATGAATTGCATCATGATGATGATTCTAAACTTAGAAGTGAGGTTAATCAGATTAATCAAAGATTAGAAAAACTTGATTTACTTATTGACAATATTAGAAAGTCTCTTAAACTTCAATTTAATTCAAATAGTATATGTCCTATGTATGGTGAGAATGATTATTCTGAATTTTAATGTTATAATTTAGATCAATCATTTCACCCTAAGTAAGAACAAGTGCAAGTAGCTCACGATTTTAATAGAAATACGAAACCTTTTTCAAATTCTTATAATCCTAATTGGAGGAATAATTTTTCATGGAGAGACCCAAATAATATTCAAAATTCAGAAGCACTTAGACCCAATTCAAACTCTGAATTTCGTCCAAAATAAGAAAATATATTTTAGAAAAATCAGCCCTCTCAAATCCAACCTGATGCTATGGAAATGATGCAGCAAATGAGCCAAATGATGCAACAAACTATGAATCAAATGATGCAACACCAGAAACAAATTATAGAGGCCCTTGGGAATAAGAGAGAAGAGAGACAGTTACCTAGTCAGCCCATAGAAAATCCAGGGAACCGCCCAACAATAGGATTTCAGCAAGGGGAGTCTAGTAGCATGAATCTAGAAAAAAACCCACGAAATGAAAATGTTAGGACAGTGAATGCATTAAGTAGTGGTAAGATCTTACCTGATCCTTATCCCCAAACATTAGAAGAAAAAGAAGACGTGGACAACCCAAAACAAAATCAAATAGGAGTAGAAGAGGATTTTATAGATTCTACCAAGGAAATTTCGAAAGAGAGGACAACCATTCCATTTCTTAAAGCTCTAGAGCCTAGACAAAGAAAGAAAAAGGAACACAATGAAGAAATAAAGAAAATTTTACAAGATGTGCAAATTAGTCTTCCTTTACTCACTGCCATTGAACATATTCCTGAATATGCTAGAGTTTTGAAAGAAATGTGTACACCAAAAAGGGCACCTAGAGTAGAAAAATTATCTATGCATGCTAGTGCATTATTATTAAATCAATTACCATATAAATTGAGAGATACAGGTGCCCCTTTAATTTCGTGTGATATTGATGGATCTATTTTTCAGAATGCATTACTTGACACCGGTGCTAGTATTAATTTATTACCTGCAAGTATTTGTGATAAATTTAATATTTCTGATCTTAAACCTTCTATTGTTACCTTACAATTTGCTGATAGATCCATAAAACATCCTAAAGGTATTTTAGAAAATGTGATAGTAACAGTTAAAGGGTGTAAATTTCCAGCTGATTTTATAGTGCTAGAAATGGATTTTAATGGACAGTTTTATGATACACCAATCATCCTAGGGAGACCATTTTTGCATACAGCAAAGATGAATATTGATTTTCCCACAGGTATTGTGAAAATTTCATGTGGAGATCAATCAGTAGAAATTAAAATTTTTGAGGTACCAAATGATCTTAAGAAATCACAAGTATATGATTGTCATACCATAGATCTTCTAGATGATTTTGATGATCTAGATGTTATTGATGACTGTGTGCTGGAAGAATTAGAGGAAATAGAGAATATAAATTTAGGAGAAAAGAAAGAGGAAGATCATCTGAATTTAGAGTTGAAACCTCTTCCCTCTAGTTTAAAATATATGTTTTTGGAGGAGAATAATTCATTTCCTGTTATTATTGCAGCTGATTTGAGTGATGAACAGGAAGAAGAATTATTAGATGTACTTCGAAAAAATAAGAAGGCTATGGACTGGAAAATGGATAATCTAAGGGGCATTGATATGAGTGTATGCATGCATAGTATATATCTAGAGGAGGGGGCTAGAACTAGCAGGGAACCACAACAAAGATTAAATCCTAACATGATGAAAATTGTAAAAAAAGAAATTTTAAAGTGGCTAGCTGCTGATATTATTTATCCTATTTTAGATAGCAAATGGGTTAGGCCTACACAAGTAGTGCCAAAAAAATCAGGGATCACGATTATAAAAAACGAAAATGGGGATGAAATACAAACAAGATTAACTACCAGTTGGAGGGTTTGCATTGATTATAGAAAATTAAATTTAGTTACTAGAAAAGATCATTTTCCCCTACCATTTACTGATCAAATTCTAGAAAAATTAGCTGGAAAAAACTTTTTTTGTTTTCTAGATGGATACTCTAGTTATAATCAAATTTATATAAACCCTTTAGATCAAGAAAAAACAACTTTCACTTGTCCATTTGGTACTTTTGCTTTTAAACGCATGCCTTTTGGTCTATGTAATACTCCAGCCACATTTCAAAGATGTATGCTGTCTATTTTTTCTGATATGATTGGAAAATGCATGGAAATTTTTATGGACGATTTTTTTGTTTTTGGAGAATCATTTGATGAATGCTTAAATCATTTAAAGCATGTACTTGAGAAATGCATAGAGAAAAAATTAGTTTTGAGTTGGGAGAAATCACATTTTATGGTTAAAGAAGGAGTTGTGTTGGGTCATATTGTGAGTAAAAGGGGTTTAGAGGTGGATAGAGTAAAAATTGATATTATATCTAAAATGAAACCTCCAAATTCAGTAAAATAGATTAGATCTTTCTTGGGTCATGCAGGTTATTACAAAAAATTTATTCAAGATTTTTCGAAGATTTCTAAACCTCTCACCATGCTATTATCTAAAGATGTGCCTTTTAATTTTGATGAGAAATGTTTTGAGTCTTTTTTCGAAATAAAAAGATTACTTACTGAGGCACCCATTTTACAAGCTCCTGATTGGTCTCTTCCCTTTGAAATAATGTGTGATGCATCGAATTATGCAGTGGGGGCCGTTCTAGGACAAAGAAAAGAGTCAAAACCCATAGTAATTTCATATGCTAGTAAAACTATATCCGATGCTCAATTAAATTATACCACGACTGAAAAAGAGTTGTTAGCTGTAGTATTTTCGTTAGAAAGGTTTAGATCATATATTCTGGGAGCTAAAATTATTATTTATACTGATCATGCAGCATTAAAATATCTGTTAAATAAGAAAGATGCAAAGCCACGTTTATTAAGATGGATTTTATTGTTGCAAGAATTTGACCTAGAAATAAAAGATAAAAAAGGTTTCGAGAATGTTGTTGCTGACCATCTTTCTAGATTAAGTGATACAAGAATTAATGCAGCACCTTTACAAGACGCATTTCCAGATGAACAATTGATGGCAGCTCAACATCAACCATCACCATGGTATGCACATATTGTTAATTTTCTGGTTTCTGAAAAAACTCCAGAACAGTGGGATAAGAACAGAAAACATCATTTCTTTTCTAAGATTATAAATTATTTTTGGCATGATCCTGATTTATATTACTTGGGCAATGATCAAATTTTAAGGAGATGTGTTCCTGAAGAAGAATACCATAGCATTATTAACATGTGCCATTCATCTAATTGTGGAGGACATTTCTCTGGACGAAAAACAGCTGCAAATTTTTTTCAGTGTGGTTTTTATTGGCCTACAATCATTAGAGATTCTATAGAATTTAGTAGAACATGTATTTCATGTCAATCTATAGGTAACATGAGTAAAAAAGATGAAATGCCCATGAGTAACATGTTAGTAGTCGAAATTTTTGATGTATGAGGAATAGATTTCATGGGTCCCTTCCCATCAACTGAAAAATATGAATATATTTTGTTTGCTGTTGATTATGTGTCAAAGTGGGTGGAAGCTATTCCTACTAGAACTAATGATCATAAAATCGTGATGAAATTTGTGTAGGAAAATATTTTTTCGAGATTTGAATGTCCTAGAGTGATTATTAGTGATGGAAGAACACATTTTACAAATAAACATTTTAGGAAACTTTTGAAAAAGAATGGAGTACACCATAGAGTAGCCACTCCATATCATCCCCAAACAAATGGGCAAGCTGAAGTAGCAAATAGGGAAATTCAAAGAATTTTGAGAAAAATAGTTAGACCAGATAGGAAAGATTGGCCCACGAAATTACAAGATGCATTATGGGCTTATAGAACAGCTTATAAAAATCCCATAGGTATGTCCCCATTTCATCTCATTTTTGGAAAGCCATGTCATCTTCCTATAGAAATAGAGCATAAAGCATTATGGGCTATAAAAAATTTATGTATGGATGAAAAATCAGCTGGTGGGCATAGAATTTTTCAGCTACATGAACTAGAGGAGTTGAGGAATGAAGCTTATTACGATTCTTTCGGCTTTTACAGATCTTAATTTGATTAATTAAATCGTCTGTAATCGCTTGCGTAAGAATTGCCGGGCAGAACTCTGTTTTTGCCCGATTCACATTCACCGGGTGCTGACGTCATCCGGATGCCCGCACCCTTATTTCCCTTTTTCGTGAATTTAAAATATATTTCCTTTTCATTTCTTAGTATAAAATTCATAGAAAATAGTATTCTTTGAGAAAAATTGTGAATAATTACCAGATATTATATTACATCCCTCTAATTGACCTGGAAAATTACTGCTATTTTTGGAAGTTTTATTGAATTATACTTGATATATTTGTTCAGAAATACTTCTAAATATCTAAAAATTCGTATTTTCTAGTTTTATAAATTTTAAATTTGCGTGATTTACTATACAACGACTGAGTCACGTCACCCGCCGGCCAGCCGGGCCCGCAAGCAAGTCGAAAGCGCAATAGAGGAGTAGCCATGAGTAGGGGCTCGAGCGGCTTGGACCAATAGGGTCATGTGTGCGCCACTCCCCTTCCACGTCACTAGTGGCCAGCCAGCTGTGAGGCAAGGAGTGGTCGTACACGCGGGAGAAAGGGACTTGATTGCAAATATAATATTACTATATATTTACTAGAAAATTCGACACACAAGCGATATGAGACTAAACTCCCCACACCTTGCCCAGAAAGGGTAGGCAACTGGTGTAGGTTCGAATCCTCCCAGAGCCAAAATTCATATTTTTTTTATCTAATTATCACGACTTTCTTGCAGATCGTCAGTGAAGGATTAAGCAACCAAAATCGTTGGATCATCAGCGAAAATCTCATCAATGCGATTCACAGAACATTGTTACTAAAATTACTGAACGATTTGCGATAAAAGGATTGCGAATCCATTGAGTAAAGCATCTCCAATTGATCAATGAACAAGCCGTCGTTGGGAATCCGCGTCCTGAGAGCATACCAGATGCAATAAAGAGCCTCCTCTTGTTGCGCGGAGCTGAGGATGAAGCTCTCTGACATGCGCCCCACCTCCATCCAACTCCTCTCCGTCGGGTGACAGCCACCAGAGAGCCGCAAAGTTGCCATTTTTCCACTCCACCGGGTGACAGCTGCCGGAGACGATTCGATGACCCATTTCATTGATCTCTAGACTTCGCAAGGAGATCTAGAGATTGCCCACATCATCCTTGTCTAAGGAGAGCCTTCAAAGCTGAGGACACTACATGACTATCCTCCCAAACGCTCAGGATTTCGATTCATCACTGACACATCGCCGTTGCCACACTGGAACTCTATTTTCTTGCTTTCAACTTACTTTCTGCTTCATTTAGTGATAATTTGTGTGATTTAAATTTACCAAAATATACTTCATTCAATTACAATTCTTTCGGTTTTTACAGATCTTAATTTGATCAATTAAATCGTCTGTAATCACTTACGTAAGAATCACCGGGCGGAACTCTATTTCTGCCCGATTCGTATTCGTTGGGAGCTGACCTCATCCTAACATCTGTACCCTTATTTCCTTTTTTTGTGAATTTTAAATATATTTCATTTTCATTTCTTAGTATAAAATTCATAGAAAATAGTATTCTTTGAGAAAAATTCTGAATAATTACCCAATATTATATTACATCCCTATGATCGACCTAGAAAATTACTACTATTTATAGAAGTTTTATTGAATTATAATTGATATATTTGTTTAGAAATACTTCTAAATATCTAAAAATTCGTATTTTCTAGTTTTATAAATTTTAAATTTGTGTGATTTACTATACAACGACTAAGTCACGTTAGTACATTTATTAGAATGGATAAAGATGTAATAGAATTCACCAAATCAAGATATGCGAGAGCTTGCATAGAAATTGATTTCTCAACCCCCATCCCAAAATACATCATGATAAAACATGAAGCACATGAAAAAATCCAACAACTGATAGTTGTTGAATCAGTTTCAGCCTTCTACATGGTGTGCAGAAAGCTTGGCCACCATGACCAACTAATGGTACAACCGTAAGGATAATGCATACCAAACTCTATACCAGAATAGGAAATAGTCACCAAGAGAGGAAAAGAAGAAGAACTTTAGACATGAACAAAATAACTCACCTGGGAAGAATTTAATAGGCAGATGGAGAAGAAGAGAAATAGAGAGCCCAAAGAAGAATGACACCTTGGAACGAAACAAAAGAAATGACAATGATGATACCAATACAACTTACACCCAAGCCACAAAGGAACACGTTTTCGACATAAGCCAAGAAACCATCCTCTCTTCGAAACAAGTAAACGAATGTAACCCACAACCATCTGAAAAGAGAGAGGAAGGAAAAACCTAAGATAAAACTAACAATGCTGAACCAATAGAGAATTCCCCTTGAGTAAATGAAAGCCATAACCACTCCACCAACAACGATAACCAATTAATAGGAAATAGAGAAGATAATGAAGAAACAAGAGAAGGAATAGCTCAAATTGAGGAAAGCAATGATGAAATGACATACAACTTAAATAACTTAGACAAAGAAAGCTTCACCCCACCACAAACACAGAGTAACAAAAACAATAGAATAAGGGGCAACCCTCCTAGCCACGAAAACTTTGGAACTAAAAAAGGAGTAATGAAATACAATACAATATATCATGCAGAAGAAATAAGACTAAAATCACCTAGACACTTAGACCCCCGATTCATTACAATTAATAGACAAAAGATGAGATTATCAATTAGTAGTAATGATATTTTAATAGGAAGAGAGGAAGAAGAAGTTAACTCCAAAAGGTAATCCCTTGGACAAACCATCCCATTAACAAAAAATGATAGATACTACGCAGCATCAACATCCAAGATGAAAGGAAAAAAATATGAAGAAGAGATAGATGAGGAGACCTGCATGGAGGAAGATGACTCAAACTTGGAGGAAATAATCACAAGACAGTCGCCCAAATCAGAAGATGATGAGGAGAAAATCTCAAGGGATCCAAGCATAAAATAAAGAATAACAAGGAAAAATATTACACATGATTATAGAAGATCAGAAAGACTAAGATTGAGACTCTTTTGATCATCCAACTTTACGGATGCATAATATCCTTATTTAAAATTGTAGGGGAATAGGAAACTCACAAACAAAACACAGAATCAAGGAACTAGTACAAGAGCACAAAATCAAACTAATAACTATAATTGAACCCATACTAAAATAAGAAAAAGCTGAAAACACCAAAAGAGAATTAAAAATGGATTACTCATGGACCAACAAAAACAACAAAATATGGCTCTTCAAGCAAAATAAAATCTCAATTATCATCACATTAGAGCATGAACAAATTGCAATAGTAGAAATAACCTATCAAGACATAATAGAAAAAAATAGTATAATATATAGCTCTTATCAAGCGTAAGGAATTGTGGGATCACCTAAGGGGTATCACAAAAAGAGAATATTTTATGGTTAATCGGAGGGAATTTCAACATTATAAGACACTCATTAGAAAAGAGAGGTGGATCTAATGCGAATTTCAATCAGATGAGTGAATCTAACGAAATGATTCAACATCTAGGACTCATTGAAATAAAGCACAAAGGAAACAATATGTCATGGTTTAATGGTGCTAAAGGTGTAAACAGAATTTACCAAAGGCTAGATAGAATCCTGGTTAATGAAAAATTCACTAGAACAAAATAATTTAAAATTACTTTCCTCCCAAGAACATGTTCAGACCATGCCCCAATCCTAGTCAGACAAGCTACAACCAGGCCCATCAGTGGAATGTCATTCCGATTCTAAAACATGTGGGCCCAACACAAACAATTCAAATGATTTATTAATGAATAGTGGGGAGGTAGAGTTGCAACAAGTAATATGATTAATCTTAGTTATGAATTACAAAACATGAAATGTAAGTAAAATGGTGGAACAAGAACATATTTGAAAACATTAATACAAGAATGAAAGAACTCAAAATTAAAATACAAGACAATTTTTTTCAAAAGCAAATGGGAGGAATATACCAATTGATAATTATAAATTAGTAGTTGAATTTATACATTAATATCTTATATATAGATACTAATTAATGGGTAGATAATATAATTATACATGTGTTACTAGCTCATTATGATATTCATAATGTTTTATCATTTAAGTCTTAATACATATTATTTAACTTATTTTATTTATATTATGAGACTAACCCCACTTGACTTTGATAAAGTCAAGTGGTGATTCTCTCACATTTTCTTGATAATTATTTGATTGCAAAGACATAAGTGAACTCTTATTATGAGTTAGAAGTAATGGAAGAAGCCTAAGCCTTCAGCCCAATGAACAACCCAAATTTTATGGAGAGGGCCGACCTAATATGTTTATGGACTCAAGAGAGAGAGTCATCTTGGCATAGCCTATTTGGAGTTCAAAGGGTTATCAAGAGATGAGATTTAGGTCGCTTCTCTTAGGGCACCTTAAGATGAGATTAAGAGAATGATTAGAATGCTACCCTTCATAAAATGATCTGAGCCGTTCACTAAGAGAGTCAATTATTAATCATAACCATCCATTAGAGGGGCCTAATTTTTGAGAGGATTAAGCCATCTTGCCCCCCTCTTGAAGGACACTTTTTGCCTCTCTCTAGTAGTGGCTAGTTGAAGGAAATAGGAGGGAAATCAAGGCCTGATCAAAGGCATTCTCATGCCCAAGATCGTCGTGAAGAAGAAATTACCTGGAGCGCATCAAGATCATCACAAATCAAGTATCACTCAATCTAGGATTGACGCATAATGAGGTTTGTGCAAGATCCAAATTTAGGACGTCCTTGTAATCCTATCCATAGATAGATTAAACTTTTAATTTGAACCAGTTTTACCATTTATTTTATCATTCCATTGCGTTAGATCTATTCTCTCCCTTTTGTCACATTTTTCATAACTCTTGTCTTCACTCTTTTTATATTTAGTTTTTCCCTTCATAATCACAAATATATATATATATATAAGAAATAGAATAGGTAAAATTCTTACTCTCATCATCCACACTTCCTAAAGATTGACCCTTACTTATCCTAAATATAAGAGTGAGGTTTTATAAATATTATTTACATGAACTTGGTTGCATCACAACAATATATTTAACCTCGAATTCAAGTCTATCACCAACCTTAGAACAAAGATAGATGAAATATCTGAACAGCATAAGACCTTCTAGAAACAAAAAGCAAAAATCCACTAGTTAAGAGAGGGTGATAGGAACACAATTTTTTTTCACGTGACCACAAAAATCAGAATGACAATGACTCATTTAGTAAAATGCTAAAAGAAGCCGATGGTAACTAGAACAATATCTAAAAAGAAGGGACAAAACACTTCTCAAAATTACTACAAACACAAACACAAGACTATGATCGTACACTTCTTGATGTAATCCTTAATGCATAAACAAGGAAGACAATGAAGAATTATGTAAAGTGCCAGACAACAGGGAAATAAGAGAAACAGTATTCAAAATGAGGAAGGATAGTGCTCCAGGAGCAGATGGAATGGGAGTCATGTTTTTTTACAGAATGTTGGGACATAATAGGCAAAGATGTATGCCAAGCTATCAAAGAATTCATGTTATCAAACTCTCTCCCACGACCATGGAAAGCTACATTCATAACACTAATTCCCAAACAGGAAACACCAAAAAACTTCTCTGAATTTAGACCAATTAGCTTATGCAATGTGTGTTATAAAATTATCACCAAAATAATATGTAAAAGACTTCGAAAAATCTTATCCAAAATCATATTACCCAAATAAGGAGCCTTTCTTGAAGGAAGATCAATAATTAAAAACACTGCACTAGTCCAAGAAATTAACCAATCCATCAACAAAGAAAACACAGGTGGTACATCATATTAAAACTAGATATGGCCAAAGCATACAATAGAATTGAATGACGATTTATCATGGAAGGCTTACATAGATTTGGATTCAACAAAAAATGGATAGAATAGATCAAAGTATACATAGAGAACAATCATTTTTCTCTCCTAATTAATGGTAACGTTCCACCTTTTTTTACGGTTAGCAAAGGATTAAGACAAGGGGATCCTCTATCCCCTGTTCTATTCATAATAGCCAAAGAAGTA